CTACACAGTATCCATTTTTCCCCCACCCCTACTACCTTTAAATCACATTAGAATTTATAGCTGTGGCATCTAAAGGTTCCAAGAAAACAGAGTTTGATTCCAATACAACATAAAAACCTCTAAACGTCAATCAGCTTTCTTCTTTCTGTACAATTATTTTCGGACAATTAGAATCACTCAAACATTTCACATAATAGAAAAACACGATCATCACAATCAATGAAGTGGTCCAAGGTTTTTCTTTGAGTTCATCAAACAGCACTAATGGATTAAAGTTCTGGCAGACACTCCAGACCAAACCTCAGACTCCAGCCAGTTGAGTTTTTCTGAACTTTGCTAATCCAGGCTTTCTGCTTCAGGCTCTGTTCACACTCACAAAATCACTTCACTCCTTTCTTCTGCACCAAACCAGTGTGGGCCGAGTTTTTAAATGGTCTAATCTAAGAACAAAGAACAGCACAAATGGGTTTTGTACCTTAAATTCTGCAGGTCGAGGCAGAAAATTGCCAGCTCCTGGACACATGCTGACTTCTCTCCCCAAACCAGAGAAAGCTCCACTGCCCATCAGGAGAGGCAGGAAACCAGCCAGAGAGCCGGTCTGATTCTGGAGAGACAAACACCAACACATGCTTCAGTCCCTGTTTCATTCTTTATGTCCGGTTAGTTCTTATGCTTTGGACACTCAGAGAAGCCGTTCCAGTAACAGTAAGATCTGAGACAGAGGCCTGACGAGGTACACAGAAACTCAGATCCATAAGGCATACTCTCATCTGCACTTTATGAGAAATATTACTGGTCAGCAGGAAACACCCACGTTATAAATGTCAGAGAGAGCATCTCTGAGCTAATTTACCTTCTGCTGGAACTGCACCATTTCCATGAGATTCTGAGCTCCTGGCGACAGGCTTGTTCCCATCTCCTCCATCAGACACTGCACTCGCTGCATGTCTATGCCCGGGTTTGGGGCTGGGCAGGACTGCAGCAGCTGAAGGCTCACGATGACTTTAGCCACCATGACACTGCTCCTACCTGCCAGGGAGAGTAACTGGGAGAGAGAAGGAGCTCGTTAGATTCTCACACAACCACGACTGTGTAACAAACTGCGTAAATTAAAATGTTCTGCTTTACCTTCACTTCACAGGCAGAGGATGGCTCCTCGATGATCAGCTGCTTCTTATAGAAAGGCCCTCTGTCAGCACTGTGATTCACAAACAAAAGAAGAAGCATCACGTCTTAACATCAGACAATCAGCAGCGTCTTTATCAGAAGACCCTTTGCTCATTGGCTCTTCTGACCTGTGCCGCCTGTGTACCTGTCTAGCTGGATGCTGTCGTCCTTCGATCCCCGTACAGTCCCAGAGTACTCTCCGGTCTGGCTGTACACCTCCATGGTTCGAGCCTCACTTATAACGAGCAGGCGGCTGATGGTGGCAGGTAAGCTGGGGTTGCAGTGGAACTTCAGGACACAAGGAGAGCCTTCCTCCATCTGCTCTAGCAGCACTGGATCACAACTGTGTGTGGCAGATAAGTGGGAAATGTACCATTCACTTAAATAAAAGGAAAATCCACTTCTCGTCTTTGCCTTCTGTGTGAATAGACAAAGATTAATTGCAACTGCCTGTTAATTATAGCACTAACTGCTTCTTAATATCAGCTAGAAGCTTCTTACCACTGAGTTTCTTCTCTGTCCAACTCACTGACTTCATCTTCTTCTTTGGTCGTGTTATTGATGTGAACAGGAAGAACGACGTCAGCCAGGTGACGCCCCTGAGTGTGACAGACCCAAGTAGCTTCACTTTTCACAGAGATGTCCACCATAATGCTGCGGCTTGCTGTAACCTTTGAGCCAACGACCTAGGATACAAAATTGGAAACAATTAGGAGAACAGGTTACAGATTCAAGACAAGATTAAAGACTGATTAAAGCCACTGTAAGACAGAAACAATAAGAGTCATGTGCTTTTGTCTTTGGCAAAGATAGTGGATATATTGGAGCGACAGCTCCAATATATCCACTATCCTTCCTCTGCACACATCCAAACCGTCCCAGCCTCACTCTCTCTGTCTCCAAACCGCTCAGCCTGAGCGGTCCCTCTGATGTACTCATTTCTAATCTTGTCCATCTTTGTCACTTCCAGTGAAAATCTTAACATGTTTTGTTCGTGTTGTCTTTTTGTCTCCATCTTCTTCTTGTGCACTGTCCATTGCTTGTATGGTTGACCCTAGGTATTTAAACTCATCCACTCACTCAGCCTCTTCCACCTGTCTCCCTCTCATTCATGCATGTATTCTTTCTCGCTTCTTCCAGCTCCCTCGTCTAACTGCGGATCACAGTGTCGTCTGCAAACATCATAATCGACAAACGCTGCTGTCTGACCTCATCTGTCAGCCTGTCCATCACTACTGCAAAGGAGCTCAGAGCAGATCACTGGTGTAATCCCACCCTCAGCCCACCTGTCTCTCTTACCGCACACCTCACCACTGTTCTCTGCCAGAGTTCCTCTTTTGACCCACTATTTTCCACTTTCGCTGATCCATAAATAAAGAGTGAAGCTCCTTATGACCTTCTCTATATTTCTCCATCAGTACTCTCAAACATCACATCTCTAGAGTTCTTTCTCAGCATGAAACCATACTGCTGCTCACCGATCATCACGTCGCTGCTTAACCTAGCTTTTACAACTCTGTCCCAAACCTTAAGATATGACTCGTCAATTTGTTTTTACTCTCTGTAAACTTTTATTTCAACTAAAGTTTGCTTTTATGGTCGTTCTTTTTCTACTTTAAGTAATAAAAATGCTGTGCAGTCCCACATAAAGCGGGACCGCTGGTCTCCCTGGTCCACAGTTAGTCAGGTGGGCCAGATTTCAGATTTAAATGAATATGATGATGAATATGTGATATGTTTGATTTCTGACAGTTTGTTTTAAACTACAGGCACAATGACGTGTAGTGCAGGAGTACACACAGTACTGATCGGTTGTGTGTTGTCACATCCGATTCTTTGCTACAGCTGCAGTAACTCTGAACGTCTCGCTGTGACGGGAAATAAATCGCGTTTACCTTCAGAGTGCCTCCTGAACCCGCTGAGAAGAAGCTTCCAGGCTCTTCTTCTTCACGTTTCTCCAAACATGTCTGAAAATCTGCTAATTTTAGCAACAACTAACGGCTAAACGATTAGCTGAAGCTACAGCTGACACGCGACGCTGGATTGTAGGGTTGTTGTGGTGTGACGTCATCAACAGGCGCCGCTCGGAATGCCGTTGTTCAGTTCCTAACGTCTGTTTGGTAACTAAAGACACGTTTATTTCTTGATTTAAATTAAAAACTTTTCAGGACCCAACAGAAACGTGTACGTCGGGTTGTGTAAAATCATCCAGAGTAACTCTGAGGTTGTGTTTTGACTGTTAATCCTTGTTGAAGTTAAAATAACGAATGTCTCTGTGAACCTGGGCATGGACTTCACTGAGTGCTACCGAGACATGGTGTCCAGTGTGGCCGCTGCTGCTCGCTCAGGCGGCACTAGGTGGCTGAGGGTGCTGATTCAGAGAGGCTGCAGTGTGGACTGTCGGGACAACCGAGGCTGGACCGCCCTGCACGAGGCGGCGGCAGCTGGCAGCAAAGCGTGCGTCCAGGAAATCCTGTCAGCTGTCAAAGGTAAGAGAGGCTGCTGCACAGGTATCCAGTACTACTTCCTTTAGGTGTCTCCAAAGGCGGATCATCTGCCTTCCTTCGTCTCACCCTATCCCAGCATCCTCCTCTGTCACACCAACCCTCTTCATGTCCTCCTTCACATGAACCTCCTCTGAGGTCTTCCTCTTTTCTTCCTGCCTGGCACCTTCATCTTCGGCATCCTTTGGCCACTGTCCGTCCTCTGCACATGTCCGAAAGGTCTCAGCCTTCCCTGTCTAACGTTGGATGCAAAGTTAGAAGAGACCCTAGTATCCAACAGTCCCCATCGCTCCAAACAAGAAGAGGCTCAGAGCCAATCCCGGATCTTATCCCACCCTCACCTTCATCTGTCACTCCTACCCTCCTCCACCACTGTCTCACTGCCCTCTAACATGTCTTGCACCAGCCTCACATACTTCTCTGCCACTCCCGATGTTCTCATACAGTAACACAATAGGTTTGGGCCCATTACAGTCATACTATGTTTGACCTGGAGCAGCTTCAAAGGGATGCTTGTCTACTCCCGGGATCGAACCAGGGAGCTTTCACTTGATAGAAAGTGAAAACTGAGATTCTTTATTGCTTTTAAACTTTTAAAAAGCGAAGTGCTTTCACATTGTTGCTCGATGTGGTATTTCAGATGGACGACAGGTCGGGACTACTCAAGTACATTACACAAGTACTTCTTTACTCAAGTAAAGGTGAAAAAGTACACACTCTGATATGTGCTCAAACTTCCACCTTCCATATTAATATTATAATAAAATATTATTTATACAAACTTTATTTCAACTTAAATTCAAATTCTAATAAATTAACTCAGCTTGAACTCCTGATATGCTGATCAAAAAAAAAGAAAGGGGATTTAAAAAGCTCTCTTTGCTGCTGACTGCACTTTAGATGTGTGACTTTGTCGTGAAACCCAAACAATAAGATGACTATAGTGAAGGGTTAAAGTGGGATTTTACAGATTTTGTGCACAGCCTGTCATCAGCTGGCCTGTCCTGCTCCTCTTTATGGATTTATCCAGCAGGATATGAGCTGATGTTACAGGAGCTGTCGTTTTATTGATTTACATGGATGCTTCTTTGTGAAAAAGATGTACTTGTACTTGTATTGACAGGCAGAATCTGATACTGTGGAGCCTTTCATTGAGCCAGGTCAGCTTGACACTGAAAAGAGCAGAATCCTAATATTTTCCATTACATGCCCTTCCCATTGACAGCATAAAGCTAGTGCAAAGGTGGAATCCAGTGT